AGACGTCTGGACCTGCTCAGGTCGGGGAAAAGCCTCCCACTCAGTTCTGATGTGAAGATTAAGAAAGGACCTTGCCGGAGATGAGCAACGGATGGAGCAGGTGAGGGTGTTGAGGTATCGGGGACAATGAAGAATTCCTGAATGAAAAGAAGAATTGTAAGAGAATAGTGCGTGACGCAATATTTTTGGTTTTTGTGGGAGGGTATTGATATTCGATGTCGCAAAAAGACAGTTAAAAGAAAACTTCAGCTTTTTCAGGGATTGGATGGGGTTAAAGAAAAGAACGGAAAAAGTAGATCTCTGTGGTTAGTGGAGAGCTTGAGAGCTATGCAGTATCGGTGATACGCTTGATCGTTGAATATCGGGGAAGCGTAGGGGCGGTATTGCACGTTCTTATCGAAAATACAGTCTTTTGTCTACAAGAGACCTTAGACATTTGTCAGAAATTGCTGGTTTTTCTGCGAAAGATGTAGTGTGTGGAGATAGGTTTATTATTTTCAATGCAGTAGCAGGGCGTAACTGCGAGTAGAAATATTACCAGAGTTTTGGGTATTAGGTACTGGATTACGTGCAGGTAGGAGGTACTGTATCTACCAGAGTGGTAATTAGACTGTTACTGCAGTAATAGAGTATTAGTACAGAGTGGTATTAGTACTTTTACTGCAGTAGAGTATCATTACAGAGTGGTATTAGTACCTTTACTGCAGCAGAGTATTATTACAGAGTGGAATGAGTACTTTTACTGTAGTAGAGTATTATTAGTACTTGGATGTGGGTTTTAACATGTTTCTAGACCTCAAATGTTCACAAATGTCCACGCAAAATGAAGAACAACCTGTCTGCTCGCAGCTCAGTGCTTTTAGATGCTTCTAGCCACCTTCCTTTACACCAAATACTTTTCCCATATCCAGGCTCATTGAAACCTCAGTGAGCTGTGACGGACCAACTCTGCTTATTTTGACTCTATGAAGGTCTGGCGGTGGCTGCACTCTGTGATTGCTCGGCTGCCTCGGTATGTTTGGACAGCTGACTGCAGCGCGGGCCGGAGCGCCATCGGAGCGGGAGGTGGCTGGCATTCTGTCAGATCTGAACGCTCACGGAAGAGGAATATTTCAGGAGGTGCAGCAGTGTAGAGGCGATCAGACCTTTCACTGGTTTCATTTGTATAATGAACTAAATTCGATCCATCATAGCCGTTTTCAGCTGTTTCAAGGCCCTTGGGCCCCCAGATGTTTTTACTTTTGTTCAATATATGACATAATATTAGGGGTGTAAACATTTACAGATACGAGTAAGGAAAACAGTTTTAACGTTAGCGATGCAACTACATCGGTACACCGACCGTTGGATGGATCGAAATGTACGATGAACTGGTCCAGTCTGCAGTGTGGCTCGCCGACAATGCTGACACCATAAAATCTAAAGTTTGGAAGACATTTGGATTCTGTAAGAAGGGAGGGTTGGACTAAAGTCTGTCCATTTGTAATTTGCTGTTGGATTTTATGCAGGCGACGAGGAGTCAGTAGATGCTAATACAGCTAGCATAAGCAACAACACGCCAAGACACAGATAATACATTCCAGCCACAACTGAGCTCCAAGTCTATTCATGAATATCTGATCCTCTTTGGTTTTGCTTTACACTAGTTTTGCTATGGTCTCTTGGTCTCAATGGTCTTTTGCAACACTCTTTGAGGGACCTGTTCTTTGAACCAGGTCTGACTCGGACGAATTGTTGAGTAAAGATCTGGATGGATGTGAGGGAGAATACCTGCTCTCAGGTATGAGGTTCTCCACAGCGGTGTGAGTCTGGTTGGTGGTCAGGATGGAAACTTGCTCGCCGTCAGGTCCTTTAGCAGTGGAGATGACTTCATACTCTGAGAAGAGGACAACAAAGTCAAGAACCACAGAATCACCTGAAAACTCAAAAAATTCTTGTATGCGTCCCAGTTTTATTTTTTTTGCGTCATACCGGTGGTGTCATTGTCAGTTTTCTCCCAATCCAGGATGATAAAGGATGGGCATCCCTCCACCGTCACCACCGTGAGGTTGGAGGGCGGAGACTTGGGCGGACCCGTTACATTTGCCTCGCCCGGTTCATCTTCAGGGAAGTAGTTGAGGGAGGAGGTGATGGAGCAAGGCTCGTCCGGTTTCTTCCCCGTTTGGTAGACGACGTGAGGTGCTGTGGGAGCAGGAGAGAGACTGATTAGTCCGGGTTCAGTGCCCCGTATACAGTTTTCAGATCGATTTGTTCCACTTACCCACATAACGTTTCTTGCCCAAGGCATCAACGTCAGAGGTTGGCTGGGATTTAAACAGCTCTGAGTCCTCCCAGGTTTCCTGTCGACTGGCTGAAGAAAGAAACATGAACAGACACAATTTTACAAAGGTGTTTTTAGTGCAAGATGCCGAAGAATCTACCATGAAAATTGTAGCATATCAAGGTTTTTTTTTATCTATAGCTGTGCATTTAATTTGCAAGAAGAATTCCCCAAATTGATTTCCAATAGTTGCAACAATCCATCCCATTGGTGGTTTTGTCAATGTATGACAAAAGGTTCATAAATGCTGAACAAAAAACGGCCTTGTTGGGTAAACTACAGTTTACTGCAACTACAATTAGGTCTTACTATGAGGGAGATTTTGTCCTTCACCTTGTTAGTCAGTATGCTAACGTAAAAGTGGAAATCTTCCTACCGGCTGTTGTTGGCGTAGCAGTTGTGGTCTGTTTGCGTTCCTGTTTGGTCGGTTTGGCGGTTGCTGCTGAGACTTTCGGTTTCAGGATCGTCAACTTGTCCGTCAGCTTAAAGTTGTTCACTTTGTCTGTTTCAAAAGATAATTATTAATATCTTCAAGAAAAAATACTACTGTGAAATGTCCATCCAAGCCCTTTGTTAGTTCTTACCCGTTTCTCCGGGTTTCCCCACCAAGTTTGGTTTCTTGTTGATCGGTATGATTGGGCGAGCAGGGGATCCTGGAACAAACAATAGATATCAAACATTATCTATATTGATCATAAAATATGTCTTTTATCTTCTACCACCAGCAGTTTTCCCAACCTTCCAATAACAGGAGGACTCAAAGATGCCTTTACTCTTGCAAAGTTTATTTAATGGAAAACAGTGGAACACTCCTTAGTGGTATGTTAGACAACAGAAATGTCTCAGGTTTCGCCCGTGGACAGTTTCTGTCTAAATAAGGTGAAGCTTTAAAAGTGACTTTGGCTCTATTTTCTAGCTAGGTGCTCTCTAATCTCCTGGAAAATCAGCTTTTTTTTCCCAGAGTAGAACTCGATACCCGTTTCCAAATGCCAAATGAACCTGAAAACATGAACAATCCCTTGTAATTCCTGTGTGTTTTTCTAAAATCCAACATAGACCCAAGTCCAGAACCTGCAGCCAATTACACCCCCCTTCCTTCTCTCATTTAGGGAGAAGCCAAAATTCTTCACAATCAAGGAATTGACCCCATTCCAAAACTAAATGGAATAAATGCAAAGCCAGAAACATGAAAGATGATGGAGTCCTGAAAAGTTTTAGCTCTTAACATGAAACAATACAGACGCATTCCTTTCAATCAGTTACATGTAAATATGTATGAAGCCAGAAAGGACGCCAGACTGCCTGTAGAGCTGCTCTTTGGTGAATATTTGCTGTTCTTGAAATTATTTGGGCTTCAAAGAACTCTTTTGCTTCGTGGGTAAAGCTTCTATTATTCTTGAACAGTCGGACATAAATTAAGAGTTCCCTGTCAACAAAACATGGAACCATTAGATGTACAAGCTTTAGAAAATTATTCAAAGGAGTGCTTTTTATACTGGGGGTCATAGTGGAAACTGCTGTAATTATAGTTCAGTGATGCCTTGTGATTACAGTGCAAGGCTAAATGAAATAAATATTGGTATGATTTTCTCTTTTCACACACAAACAATCCTGCAATAAAAAGCAAACAGCGGTTTCCATTTGATGAAAACTGCTCGATGCACGCCATGCCGCCCTTGTTGCGTGAGGGTTTTCTAAACACAGCATCTCGGCTGCAACATGTCTGAAGCTCATCGCACTCGCAATGCTTGCAATCAAGCAAGAAGCAAAAGCACATGGAACCTGGACAAGAGCATTTAAAAGGGATAACTGAAAAGGTCCAATCCATACGCCAGGTTTGTCACAGGTTAATTAGAAACTGTTTCTTCTTTTAATTTCTGCGGCGAGAAAAAGCGCAAAGCTCTGCAAAGTGAGGTTCTTTAAAAGTAAGCTAACGATCAGAGGAGCACATACTTTCCGAAAAGGGAAAGTATTTTCCACAGGCTCTGCCGAAGCTTCTGGCCAAAGCTTTCAAGCTGACGGACGGTATTTCTCGACTCTGGACACTTAAAACGACCAAACCATGCAGTCTTGGCGGCATAGAGCAACTGAAGCGCCAGTCAGCACACGGCATGGGCAAGTTCTGGGCGCAGACAAACTCATGCCTTTACCAACCATAAAACCGCTCTTCAACTGTGGGACTCGAACGGTCAAACACTTCAGGGAACTCAGACTTCTTATCCTCCAGCAAGGAGTTGTTCACTGCAGCAGGAGAGGCGCTGCAATTAAAACTGGGGTCTGTCTTTAACATTTTCTACCATACCTTTTGGTTTATCTTATTATTCAGACAAAAAGACTCATTGAGCGTTCCACTGTTTCGCATTTTTAACACAAAGTCCAGAAAGTTCCTGTCAAAATGTTCTTGATCAACCTGATATATATGGTCACATAAAATACAAAAGACAACAGACCAATGGAAGACACCAAAAACCAGCTCATGCCCACTGAACAGGACGACCATGCACACCATACCATGCACATTGAATCTCTTGACCCCATTTCTACCTGGTATTAACATGTTTTTAATTGTGAGAATGCGGTTTGTTCAGGCCAGATCTGAACCAGGGACAGGACTACAAATTAGCCTTGGCTAGACAAGTTGAATACATTACAACTGTAGGATTTGCATTTGTGGTCAAATATTGAGCCTCGATCACAATGTGGGTAGGATGGCAAAAACAAGACATCTTATTAATACCAGGTGTAAATGCGAGGCGCCATTTATGTCTGACATTATGTTAATAATAATACTATTCTGTAAATACATGCATAATTACATATTACATGTCAATTTCTTAATTTAAACACAATTTAACTTGAAACATTCTTGTGGATGACATGAAATGACATTTAAGACAGAACGTAAGAAACACCAAAAAAAAGAAATGCTGCGAAGAACAAATACAAAAAGTTGGTTTGTTTCCCAGATTTCAGGATTCTAGAGTGAACAATATTAACTCGATGTCCAAACACTAGCTTTTTCAGAGGCTTTCAGCTGCATCTTACTGTCTTCTTCAGTAGATGGAGCTAGAAAACAATCAGAAAAAGCTAACAAGAGTTAATTTTCTATTTTTGTCAAACGACTGTCTCTAAGGTATCCAAAAATAAAACTTCCTTTTATATTTTTGTGTAATAAGCAGCAATCTTTACATGGTTATAAGACCATTACAGTCGAGCATCCAAAGAGTCTCGAAAGGTCTCAACAACCCAACCCAAAACCCTGACCACAACCACAAACCCAGACTTTTAAACACCCCCCACCACCAGCACATGGAGCATGGAGCAGTGACACAATCTGCTGCTGTTACTGGCTGTAACCAACTCAAATAATCAAGCTCCAACTCCAACATCCACTTGATTATTTGAAGAAGTCCTTGCCAGAAGCTTTGTTGAAAACCTGCAGAAGCTCAAAACACATCGGACAGAAGGCAACACGGACGGACAGACCAATGGATGGATGGATGGATGGATGAAAATTAAAGTATTAATAAACAAAATGGATGGAGACAAAAACACCAACATGAGCTGCAGTGGGAGTGAAGAGGCTGCAAAAGCGACTGAAGGGTTAATGATGAAACACAAAATGACGAACAAGGTCTTTTTTTTACCCAGTCGAGGTCTGGACCATATGGCTGGTCTAGGTGGGGAAATGCCCCGGTGCGGCTGTCCATTTACTGTTGGGAGAAAACCAAGTGTTACGGCGGGAAATCAACTGAACCCGACACGAGAACAACCATTCAAGTCAGTCAGTTTGGTGTCGGCATAATGAGATTGGATGAATCACAAGTCAAGCAACATGAGGATTTTGTTGTAGCACCTCAGAATCTTTTCCATTTCAAAACATTGACAGGTTTTGTAAGTGGAAAATGTTACAAAAAAACTTTGCGTAACTTGTCATTGACATTTGTAATTATATTTGACAATTTACTGATTAACTGATCAATGAAAAAACATGTCAGCAGTTCTTAGGTTTACAAATTTCAAACAGGGAAAAAAACGTATTATACTTACTCTATAGGTACTTCTCAGAAATACTGCTAAAATCCACTGAATATAAGCTATCAAATATACATTTAAAAGCAAATAAATTTTTGTAATGACAAATTTGCTGATATTATTTTAGTAAACAGTTATAGCTCCGCCAAAATCCCCAAATGTCTTCCTAAATCCCCCAAATGTTTTCCTCACATTTGATTTTCAGAAATTTGGTAAACTTCAGTTTTGAAACATTTAACAGTAAGCTGGCATTCAATTCCTAAATAAGCAATGTTACGATGCGTAACTTGTCACTGACGTTTGTGATTATTTTTGCAGTTAAAAAAAGTGAAATTAGTTTTCAGTTTGCTTCCAAAAAACATGAGATATTATATCTTCCAGATTTTTCTCCAGTATTATATTCATACTCAAATTGTGTGATCGCATAAATTAACCTTTCGAACTTTAACTGGACTCATTCGGTTGTTCATGTGTGACGTTCATTTAGCAAACAAAACGCATCAACAGTCAAACTGAAAACAAGGTGAGATTTGTGAAACGTGAACCACGCTGTAGAAACCTGTTGGGAATTTCCTTTCCTTTCCCTTGAAAATCAAAAGAATATTGCATCAAAGCATCAAACACAGAACCAGGATGTGAATGAATGGATGAACACCAAACCAATCCAAAACCCCAAAGTGAGCAGCTTCACTGGAGTACCAGTACCAGTGACCAAACAATGTTCGTTCTATGGCTCCAAGAGCTGAAACCACCACTGTGATACCTGTGCTCTGCAAAGCCTGGAAAGTGTCGGGAGGAAAGGGTTTGATTAATTGTTCCTTCATATTACTGATTTATGTACTCTAATTCTTTCCCAGACCCTTGAACAGTTAAAGTCCTTCAACAAAGGATGTCAAATATGAGAAACACACAAATTAGTAATATGAGGCCACAAATGACTAGTTCATCAAACATTTTCAGGCTTTGCAGGTTACACAGAGGACAGGAGTCATCTGGGGGAAGTCTCAGAAACAATAATGTCAGACAGTAAAGAGGAGTGAAGAAACAGGAGGATTACCCCCGAGTATCCCAGAGGTCGGGGATGAGTTACTGGGTCTAGAGGAAGAGTGGGGCTGTCTTAGGCCATTAGAGAAGGGAAAGAGGGGGTTTCTTGATGCAGGCCTCATGGATCTGACAACCGTGGTAGCTGCCGGGTTGTAAGGCTGCAAAGGCAGTGTCGGAGAGAGAATTCTTTTGCTGCCTTGACCTAAAAGATCAAAAACAGTTGCAGGGACTGTGTTACAATCTGATCTTGTTTTTGTCTAAGTTGCCAGTGAAGCGAGCTTGCAGCAGCCCTGAGCGGTGATGTTAGTGATGGAAGTTTTTACTCTTAATGGACCATTAAATTCAACGTGATTCTATTCACAAAGTTTGATGGTATCATGATAAGTTTTTAAGCGCTCACAATCTTAGGAAACCACAGTCATTTAAGCTGCTGATGAGTTTTGATGACGCAACCATGACTGTAAGATTGTGTGCCACATGCAGACATTGGAGGCCATGTTGCATGAAATGTGTTTTAATTCCCGGAGCGAGCAGCCAATCCTGTGGACAAAAACTTCATTGCACATTTATCTGGAAGCCGACTGGAAGCTCAAGGGAACAAGATGGTTGCAGAGACAGACAGAAAGAGCAAGACTGCCTTTGAATGCAAGACACAGGAAGCATTTCATGAGGTCATTGTTACCCCAGTTGTTATTTTTGGCTCTCTCATTGGCCAGAGCTGTTCTCAGCAGCGATGATCCATCCTGTGATTTGCTGAAAGCTGTGTGGGAAAGAGAAGGTTAAACGCTAAGAAGACATAACATGTTTTGGTTTAAGAGATGGTCCACAACCTGCTGAATTAAAATTTATATGAGAATTAAGAATTATTCATGAAAAACAGCCTGGAAGTTCATCATAAAAAGAGTTAGTCTTGAAACTTCAACTGTTTGCAGATGACACTCATATTTTCATGAATGTCCTGCAGGGAGTCCAGTAAAGTCACAAAGACAAGTAGGTTTTCTAAACACTCATTATTTCACTTCATACCAAGGTACAAAAAGAAGGTATGATGATAAATTGAGGGTTAAGTGTCAAAATTTCAGTTTTCCAAAGGAGAGTGACATTTTTGAAATCATGATTATTTCATTTCCAAACTAAGAGCAGCACAGCCTTGAAAATGTCAACTGTTTGCAGATGACACTCTTATTTTTGTTTAGATGGTACGGAGACAATCTCAGAGGGGGGGTGTTTTTTCTTGTGATTTAATTGTCTTTCGTATACAAAACTGAATTGTAGTAACTGCTGAAGTTTGGCTGTGATTTCATATGTCTCATATGTCAGTTAGCCTGTTAAAAGTCAGAAAGAAAGATAATTATTTAAAGTTATGACCACAAAATAATTGTGATGAAACAAAAAAAAAAACACCATCACTTCACTATTTAAGGAAACACAAGCCATGGAAGTTGGAATGGACATTACCAAATTCTAATTTTTGTATTTTGATAGCTTCAATTTTTTAGCTCCAAAATTTTAAACAGCAGTAAACTGATAGCTAAGTCTGTAATTCTTTTCATGGAAGTCCTAAACTTAAAAACACAAAGATTTGTACTCTCAAAAGAAAGGTTCGGCTTTAGTTAGTAGGTAGTTTCTAAATGTAAAACAGCAGGTAATTGACAGCAGCTTGGCCTTTAAAGGATAACTGTTTGCAGACAACACCCTTACTTTCATGGAGGTTGTAAAGAGCCTGTTTGAGATACAGTAGCATTCCTTTAAATATCAAGGGGCTTATTTTAATTATAATCTGTCTCAGCAGGTGCTTTACAGCAAAACAGCTATTCTGTAAGCACAAACGGATTCAGCTTTTTTCCAGAATGTGGCGATTATTTCACAAACATTTAAATTAAAAAAGGGTAGGTTGATAGGTGGAAATTACCAGCAGGGTTATGAGGCTTCTCGGGTGCATTAGTGGGCGCCTTAGTAGTCTGCCCCTGACGCAAGTCGCCATTGGAGGATAATTTAAGGAAGGGGGTGGTTGTGGCGCTGGAGAGAGGGACTTTGGTGTGCAGGAGTTGGGGGAGGGCAGGAGGACGATCCGCTGGTCGGTTGGTGTCGTTTCTAACAGAGTTTCCTTTGTCTGGGGTGAGAGAGGAGAGAGGTAACGTGATCATGGGAATCTTAGGTTTGATTTTAGATTCAGTTCAGATTGATGTTGGACTTCTGTATCGTAAACTCAACAGACATGCATTTTGCTCATCTCATCATCACCAACACTTATGGAGAAATGAAAGTCACCAGATACATGTCTTTGAAAGGTTGGAAGTCTTGTAAATTTTATTTCAAACAGGACTGGGTATCAACCAAAACTGACAAAGCCTGTTAATTTACATGTCTAATGTACAATATTGTGAAAAATCTGTAAATAATCATAAAATGAAAAGAAAATTTCATTTGTTTACACAAAAAGATTTAATTACATTTGCAATCTATGTATAATCTTTATTTTATTTAATAGATTAAACTGTTAATACATTTCTAAAACTATGTAAAATAGTGACATTAACAGTAAAAAGTATTAGTTGTGTAATTTTAATGGATTAGTTAGTTAACTGACAGATATCTTACAGCATGATAAAACTGCCAAATACAGTTTTTACAGGTAAACA